TATTAAAATATTAAAGTACGTTTTCGTTGTCGGGAACCACGGTGGCTAAGTGGGTAAGACGCTAGCTCACTAAACTTGAAATTAGGGTTTCGCTCCCTGTGTTGGCTGAGAAAATTCATCGGGATTTTCTGGCGTGGTCCCCCCCCCCCTTGTCCGTGATGCAGGACGGAGGGCATGACAAGGACAGCTGTCTAGTCGTCCGGATGGGACGAAAAAACCTAAGTCCCGTGGACACATTGGCGTGTACGTAAAAGACCCCCTGGCAGTTGGAATTCGATATAAGAGTAGGTCTTAGCGCCGCTTTCCGGGCAAAATTTTCCCCATAGCACACTGCATGGCGTATGCCCGTCTTCATTAGCCCAATCGGAGCAGAACGGTAGGACGTTAAACTCCATTCCATTGCATTTTATGCACTACTTTGTTTCACGGTAAACGATGAAAAGATAATAGGTGTTTTCAACCGTGATTTAATAACATGTTAACATATTAATGTACGTTTGCGTTCATCTGGGGAGCTATTCAGAAATAATGTCACTGTATAATATTGTATATCTATGTGTACATAGCTGAAAGAATGTAACATGCCGAAGTATGTTGAAATATCGTTCTTCTCTTACGAAATATTATAAAGAACAATTCAGCGATATCTCAGTTCATGCGTGTCCACTATTCATAATGGGATTGTACAATAAAAACAATACAATATGAACCGATAATATGAATAATGCTCTATTAAGTTTAACGTCCACTCGTTATTTAACACACAATCGGCCCATAATAAGTCATTTTGCCTTCGGGATTAACATATGATACAATTTTATTTCAATATTCCAATAATTCGCAAGCGTATATGAGTCTTTAGCAGCGGGAGTATCCGGAGAAAGCATCAGGAATTTGTCACATACAAGTGTAGGATCGAAAGCACACAACGTGACTCAGTAACATATCGTTTGATCTAATTATTATAGTCGTTTGGATGGGACGAAGAAACGAGGTCCCGTGTGTGTAAATATTGACGTGCACGTAAACGAACCCTTGATTTCGAAATAAAATAAGACCATAGTGCTGGTGTCCTGTCAAAATTTCCCCGATAGCACTCTGCCTGGAGTATGCCAGTCTTGATTAACCCAATCGGTGCAGACCAGTAGGACGTTAAAGGGACAATAACACTCTTGCTGGCTTGAAAGCTCCAGAAAATAAATAATATCTCTATCTAAGTACTAGTTGTTTAAGTGTCCTACCTGTTGTGTAAATTATCCATTACATCCTATTTTACTTGTCCAGAGGGCTCGAAAATATTTTTAAATCTAAGTTTCATTTGAAAAGGTTTACGTTAGACGTTTCAAACCATTATGTTAAATTTTCCAAAATTTTTAAATAAGGTGTGTTAAGATGAAATTTGTACCATCAATTAATTGAAATATTCTAAAATAGTACAATTTGTTGACCAGAATAAAGATTGGGACATATTATTCAGTTACAACAAGAGTGGTATTGAGCCTTTAAGCCCCATTTTATTTAATGTTGTATGTGATTAGTATATGTCCTGGAGCGAGTGGGGAATGAATACATGTGTTATTGAAGATTGTAACAATAGCTATTCAATCATTCGTATTATCTAGAGCAGATCATTGTTATATTAACACATCGTGGACCAGTGGGACGTTAAGCCCCATTTCATTTCATGTTGTATGTAATTAGTATATGTCCCGGAGAGAGTGGTAAATGAATACGTGTTACTGAAGATTGTAACAATAGTTATTCAATCATTCCTATTATATAGTGCAGATCATTGTTATATTCACACATTGTAGACATTTCTTCACAGCACTATATAAATATATACTGAAAATACAACATTGTAGACAGGTCTACACAAACTGTATATCAATACTGAAAATACAACATTGTTGACATTTCTTCACAGCAGTATATAAATATATACTGAAAATACAACAACATTGTAGACATGTCTACACAAATTGCATTTAAATATATATAAATACTAAAAACACAATGTCTACAAACTGTGTATTTATAAATATTGAAAACACAACATAGTAGACATTTCTACACAAACTGTATATATGAATAAATTGTGTATTTATACATACTGAAAATATAATAACATTGTAGACATTTCTACACAAATTGTAAATAAATATATACAAATATTGAAAATAAAATGTCTACAAATTGTGTATAATAGATATATAGGACACACAACATAGTAGACATTTCTACACAAATTGTATATATGCATAAATTGTGTATTTATACATACTGAAAATATAACAACATTGTAGACATTTCTACACAAACTGTAAATAAATATATACAAATATTGAAAATAAAATGTCTACAAATTGTGTATAATATATAAATATAGGACACACAACATAGTAGACATTTCTACACAAATTGTATATATGCATAAATTGTGTATTTATAAATACTGAAAATACAACATCGTAGACATGTCTACATTCACACGAGGGTATTGTTTAACGAATTCCTCAGGGCGAGAGATCATTTTTTAATTTCGGCACACCTGAGAGGAATTATGCGATGCCGGGGACTTGTGTTTGATGTTACACGTGTGATGTTTACGTAAATATAGTATACCAAAAGATTACGATTTTCAGTTGAAATTACCACTCGTGTCCCACTATTTCACAAATAGTATCAAAAGATCATGATTTTCAGTTGAAATTACCACTCATGTCCCGCTATTTCACAAATAGTATCAAAAGATCATGATTTTCAATTGAAATTACCACTCATGTCCCACATTTTCACAAAAAGGAGCAAAAGATCACGATTTTCACGTGAAATTACCACTCATGTCCCACTATTTTTTATATTTTTGTACGAAGCAGTGGGACAGGTGTTTGTCAATACTTGCCCACTTCTACAGTCACACAACTCCATACAAACATTCAAACATACAAAAGTGTTCTAATAAATAATGAAAATACCATATCCTATAGTGTAAGAAGAGAAATAATGCTTACCCTATTGACGGTTAACGGTGTTTAATACATCCCTTATTAAGTATCATCTGTGAACCAGAGCAGAGATGATCTTTATATATCCTTCACTGAATATTGCGCGTTTTAAATTACAATTAAAGACCAAGCCAAAACATTCCTTGGTTGGTTATTAGGACTTTAAGGTCCACCGATTTTCGCTCGAATTCCTTTGTGGTCGTTGAAAACATACACCGCTCGTGACTGAATGGCAGGTATAAACAATCAGATATATATATACTATGATGGTCACTGGAGTAAATACAACCCGAGACTACAGTTAACTCGATCACCAGGTTTTACTGTTATAAAACATAAAGCTACGAGGTTACTGGATTCGATCAATTTCTAGTCTATACAGTGTTTCTTGATCACTAGATCTTTCATTAATATTTTATTAATAGTACGCCCTGCGTGAGAAAGGATTCAAACCGCTATGAAGGTCACGACAAACAATGGGTGTGTACTTAGAATACAACACAATAGTGATCCATCGGGTGAATGAGTAACAGGATTTGTATATAGGATCTTATGAAATTTAATAGATTGCCCGAGGAATTCACGAAGATGTAACATTTTTTTTAAGTTAGATTTTTTGTAAAAGATTTTAAAATGTCATATGTTGGTAATCTGATTTTATAGTTACGGTAAATTTCATGTTAAATTAGAATACAACACACTAGTAATCTATCGGATGAATCAACAACGAGCTATATATATAGGACTTTATGAAATTTAAACATACATTATGCAAGAGATAAATCTGTCTATTGCAAGTCTTTCTTTAGCCTAAAACAGGACAAGGCTATAATCAGAGAGAGAGAGAGAGAGAGAGAGGGAGAGGAGAGAGATATATTGGGGGTTTAGCGTCCACTCGACACAAACTAGGTCATTTCGGGACTAACGTATTGTTAAATTCTATTTTAATTACTCGATTACTCGATTTAGCAGTGGGAGGACCCGGGCGGACCCGTAGAAAACCCGCGAGGTTGGACAGGCGACCCTACTCCTTGCCACGCACAACCAGGGAATCTAAATCACGCCAGTTGACTTAATGACAGACCTTATGATACAGCGCGCACGCGTCAACCATTTGGCCATCCAAGCCATCCGATATTAAGTACGGTTCAGTCACATTTTGATTTAATTTTAAAAGGGAGAAGCGAGGCGTGACTTCGAACAACCAGTACGATAGTTATAACTGATGCACACATCTTGTCAAACCTTCAAAGGCTAATAATATTCGCTTGCAATAGACTCATTTGAATGAAATTTTCATTATATTCATTTTGCGTTATCTATTATCGAAGTATTGTAGCAAGAATGGCAAGCCCTTTATCTAAATCTTACATAAAGAATCTTTAATAAATTGCCCGAAATGAAATGGGTTTAACGTCCTACTGTTCTGCTCCTATGCTGGGCTAATGAAGACGGGCATACGCCATACAGTGTGCTATGCGGGAAATTTTGCCCGGGCAGCTGCACTATCGCCTACTCTTATATCGAATTCCAACTGCCAAGGGATCTTTTACGTGCATTCCAATGTATACACGGGACCTCGGTTTTTCGTCTCATCCGAAGGACTAGACAGCTGTCCTTGTCAGGCCCTCGGTCCTGCATCACTGACAAGGGGGGACCACGCCGGAAAATCTGGATGAACTTTCTCGGCCAATGCAGGGATCGAACACCCTAAATTGCCCGAGGACTTTAGGAAGATGCATCGGGTTTTTTTTAAGTAAAAGAATTTAAAATGGGACATGTTGGTAAACTGATTTTATAGTTACGTTAAGTTTAAAGATACATTATGGAAGATTGGATAAAGAGCTGACAGTTCTCACTATATGCCCGTCTTCAATAGCCCCTAAGACCCTTGTTTGTGCATGTCACGTCTTCATTGATCCAGTCGTTGCAGAAAATTAGGACGTTAATCCCATTTCATTTGTTAGAGTGTTTAGTATATTGTCTACTCACCATGGCTGTTTCTGTTACTCGACAAAAAAATCCTTCTTTATAATTTGTCGTGATGTATTCAAAATGTCACTTAAAACATTCAAATTAATTCGTTCTAACAGAAACTTTCGGCCAACAAACACGCGAACAACATTCCTCGGCAACACACCTCCAACAACCAAACATATCAAGACACAAACAACAGCTGAAACTGAATTTAATTGTAAGATGCATTCACTCAAACAGGAGTTAAATCTATTCATGACTGGGAATGTAAATGATCAAAGGGAGACAACCTTTTTTAATAGAATACTGTAGGATGCAGACTACCACTGACTGTATTGTAATCATTGTCGTTTGCCAAGCTCTTCCTCCAAATAAATGCACTAAGTGACAAAGAACAGCCGAAACTGAATTTAATTGTAAGATGCATTCACTCAATCAGGAGTTAAGTCTATTCATGACGGGAAATGTATATGTCAAAGGGAGACAACCCTTTTTAAACTGCCACTGTAGGATATAGACCACCAGTGACTCTATTGTAATTATTGTCAGTATCCATCTTTTCCCCAATTCTCGTTGGACTAATCGTTTAACTCTGTTATCCATATCAACCAAGTCAACAGCAGCAGTGAATTTCTCTATTTTTGCAGGAATTTCTGGAATTCGATATAAGAGGAGAACGTAGCTCCGCTGTTCGGGCAGAATTTCCCTCATAGCATACTGTATGGCGTATGTCCGTCTTAATTAGCCCAGTCGGAGCAAAACTGTAGGACGTTAAACCCCATTTCATTTCATTTTGATCTAACTTCCATAGCCACAGCTCCTACGCGTATCCGAATTATAGAAATTTAATTGAACAAAATGTTAGTACGAAAAGACTTAATTTGTGACGAGTGGACGTTAAACCCAATTTCTCCCTCTCGAAAGATAGAAGAGGAAAATGTAATTAACATTGATTTGCTTTATTGAGTTGTTATATGACTATAAATAATTAAGTTGACATTGAAATATTGAGTTAGCATATCACTAAAATATTGAGCTCTTATATCACTATATAAATTGAGTTGATATATCGCTATAATCATTGAGTTGATATATGACTATAAATAATGAGTCCAATAATTAATATGCCTCTAAATATTGCGTTGAAATGACTATGAATATTGAGTTCATATATCACTAGCTATAAATATTGTGTTCGCATATCATCACTATAAATATTGTGTTATTGGCCGATACAATCATTTTATCTTATCTGTACGAAGATTAAAATGTACACAATACGGTGACGAATCAGAGACAGAGAGAGAGAGGGGGAGAGAAAGAGAGATACATGGGGTTTAACGTTCACTCGACACAAACTACGTCATTTCGGGACTAACATATGGTTCAATTTTATTTCAATACTTCGCTTGCGCGTAGGGGGTCTTTAGAAGTGGGAGGAAACCGGAGAACTGGGAGAAAAACCACGAGGTTGGACAGGCGACCCTACTCCTTGTCACGTACAACCGGGGAATCGAAACCATGCCAGTTGACTCAATGACAGACCTTATGATACAACGCGCGCGCTTTTTTTTTATTATTCCAGTTACACACATTCAAATGTGTCGCTAACCAGGAGGTCATTGTTCCGTTGTAGGCAGACAGAAAGATCCTCGTAATTTTGCCAGTCCGTTTTCTCCAGTCAGATCTAAATATTAAGGCCACCTGCAGATTTTGTCATTGTCGTTAGGTGTCAATAGGGTTAGAACATGTGATTGTTCACGAGATTGTTGGTTAGGGTTAGGGTTAGTGTTAGCCCTGTTTACATCTCGTAACCTTGACAGTAAAACACGAATCTATGATAAATTATCTCTGATAAAAATAAAATACGGAATATAAAACAATACAAACACGGACAGAAAAAAACAATCGAATTGCAATCTGACATTATAGAGCCAAATGATATAAAACAAGTGACAATGAGGATATGTTATAACCTGTGTTGACCTCACGAGGGGTCATAGGTCATGGATAATAAAAAGGATGAACACTGATTAAAATGAGTTGCATTAATCACGTATTATTATCTTATCATAGAATAACCTTTGATAGGTTATATACTCCACCAAAATGGCCTCCCTCCAATATGTATTGTAAGTAATTTCTAAATTGACTTTATTTTAAATTTCATTTATTAGCTGAGACATTAAGACATTAAGAATTACCGAACCTTTTAATGGTTTTATTACGTGATTTCGATCAAAGCTGTAGAGGTTGGGGGTGGGGGAGGGGCATAAGGTATGCCAATGAGTCAATGGACCGTATTTCGATTCCAAGCTGATAAGTAACAAAAATAATTGACTTCATTTTAACTCTGTGTTTGAATTTAATTTATTATTTGAGACATTGACCTATTTATGTAAGAATGACCACTCCGTTCGCTGCTTTATGACGGGGTTTCGCTGACAGCCATAGCCGAATAATCAAACGATTTCGCTTTAGATCATAATGTTTTGTCATTGAGTCAATTGACGTGGTTTCTCCTGATGGAGGCAGACCACCATTAAATTTCATCATCTCAGTACCCACGAATTGTAGTTCGTCTATTTATAGCAATTCTCTCTCTCTCTCTTTTCTCCCCTTTTGCATGCCCATTTGTGTTGATTTTTTGGTCTAGAATGGACGAAGAGGGTTTGAATTAACATTTTCTGCCAGGTTTTGGTAAATATTCATGATTTTGAGGCGGAAGGATAAGAGGGTTATCAGGTTAGCTACGGCGATATGTACGGCAACTAGTTACATGTTTTTAGTATGCTTCTTCAAGTTTGTGTATCTCAAAATTTTGGTGGTCAACCTCATACAAATTTTAGTGCAAAGACATGACCATTTGTTCCTCTGTAGTGAAAAGCATTCAGCCCAAGTTGGAGGTGGGCAAAGAGGCCAGAATTAACATTGAAGTCAATGGGGAAATTAATGGTGGTCTGCCTCCTGATGTTCCAGTTTCCCCCCACATGCACAAGCGAATTATTGAAATACAATTGTACTTTATGTTAGTCCCGAAATTACCTACCTTTATTGAGCGGATGTTAACCTTCCCTCTCTGTACTTAGGTTATTTATTTATCTAAGTGGGTAAGACGCTGACTCGCTAGCCTGGAGGTCGCTTGTTCGCTCATGGCGTGGTGTTCCCTTGTCAATGGTGCAGGACGGAGGGCCTGACAAGGACAGTTGTCTAGTCTTTTAAATTGGACGAAAAACAGAGGTCCTGTGTATACATTGGAGTGCACGTAAAACAAACCCTTGGCAGTTGAAATTCGATCTAAGACTAGGCCGTAGCACCGCTATCCGGGCAAAATTCACCCCATAGACCACTGTATGGCGTATGCCCGTCTTCATTAGCCCAGTTCGGAGCAGAACATTGGGGAGTTAAACCCCATTTCATTTCATGTTTCAAAACTTATAATAACTGGAACATCTACATTTCACAGCTCCCACGAACGAGAGGGCAGTTCAATTTATTTTGTATTACTATACACACACCGACAAGGTGGGGTCGGGTAATTATATAGTGCACATTTTGAGAAATAAACTTTTAATATCAACCACGCGATAAACAATCGAATATTTATCAATCACCCTAGTCTTGAAATCACGCACGGGTTTAATCAAATTTCCCTCGTAGACTAGTAGCACATACGGCGGATTGTAAGCTAGACTTAAGTTAAGCTGGCGTGTTATTTGCAAAGGAAACATTACTTTTTGTAAGTAACCGTCTCGGCACACTTCATTATAATTATTTCCTTACCTAGTAGGGGAGTTAGGTCGCCGAATGGTTTAACGCGTGTGCGTTAGATTATAAGGTCTGTCAGTGATTCAAGTGGCGTGATTTCGATTCCCCGCTTGTGCGTGACAAGTAGTTGGGTTGTAGGGTGTCCAGCCTTGTGCTCTCTCTCTCTCTCTCTCTCTCTCTCTCTCTTTATAGTATGTAACGGTAACGAGTTTAATATCTATTTCAGATATATATCCCTAACAGTATGGATTATAACGATCTTAAGTTTAGTAAATGGTGACGTAGATACTAGTGTTTGTGATCCACAAAATTACGCTAAATTGGCAGCTCAAAACCCACCAGGTGCTGTAGCATTATTTTACATAACTTATATTATATCTTACCCACCCCACCCCAACCACACCCCAACCCCACCCCAACACCAACACACTAACCGTGAAAGAAGATGTACCCCAACCCACCTCAACATCGACCTTTAGAGGAGATGCTATGATAGAAGTAGACCGGAATGACCGAATGAAACACTGCCAGAATATATATACCCCCTTATACTGAAATGCTCCGAATGCATCTTTAAGGTTCAGGTACGACAGACAACAAATACTGTATATCATTATCCCATGGGAAACGGATCATTCTGACAGTTGTCGTCGTGACATCAATTAAACTGGTCTGATTGTAAGTAATATACATTGAATTTCAAAATAAAATCTTAAGCCGTAGTCGTATATAGCCTATCAAAAGGAAGGTTTGGGGGTAGGTGTGGTAACATCTTACTTAGTGTCACCAGACAACCTAATCAAGACGGGCATGCTATACATTGTGGTAAGGGACATTATTTATTCATGTACATGCTCATCTGATTCGTAATTTGGCGTGTTCCTGTCCTGCACCAAACGGGATAATGTGTCGGACATTCGCCATACATTGTGCTATGAGAGTAATTTCCCGGAACAGCGGCGTTATGACCTAATTTCGAATTCCTACTGTCAATTTCTTTACGTGCACGCCGACGAACTCTCGACCATCACCTGGGTTAACCTGGACCACCTGAGCCACCAGTGTTCCTTCATTAGAACCATTTGAAGTTTTAAAATTGTGATCCCAGTCAGAAATTGACCTACAATTAAGCGTGTTAACCCATTCCAATGTAATTGCAGATTTACAGTTATTTCAGATTTTTCGATTCCCCGCTTGTACTTTCCATGGAGTAGGGTCGACTGTCCAACCACGTGGTTTTTCTCCGGGTCCTTCTTTTTCCTCCCACTGCTAAAGACCCCTACGCGCAAGCGAATTATTGAAATAAAATTGAATTATGTGTTAGTCCCGAAATGACCTAGTTTGTCCCGAGTGGGCATTAAACCTTATCTCCTCCTCTCTTTATTTCAGAACACCCAGTTCCACAGCTACCTGATCATTTTACAGTACGAGTGGAATGTAACATATTAGATCAGAATATTACAATTGATATAAAGGAGTTCTATGATGGTCCAAACGATCGAGGTGCCGTCCATATGTGGCAGAATGGTACTAATATACATTTGCTCTTCAGTTATAAGACGGACGAACTGTTGGCTATTGTTGATCAGGATGGTACGTACATAGTTATAAATAGAATCGGGATGGTACGTACCTAGTTATAAATAGAATGGGGAGGGTATGTACCTAGCTATAAATATAATCACGATGGTACGTACCTAGTTATAAATAGAATGAGGATGCTACGTTCCTAGCTATAAATATAACCAGGATGGGTCGTACGTAGTTATAAATAGAATCAGGATGGTATGTACCTAGTTATCAATAGAATCAGGATGGTACGTAATCTAGTTATAAATAGAATCAGGATGATGCGCACCTAGTTATAAATAGGATAAGTATAGCACCCACCTAGTTATAAATAGAATCTGGATGGTGCGTACCTAGGTATGAATAGAATAAGGATGGTATGTACCTAGTTATAAATAGAATCAGGATGGTACGTACCTAGTTATAAATAGAATCGGGATGGTATGTACCTAGTTATAAATAGAATCAGGATGGTATGTACCTAGTTATAAATTGATGTTAAAATTTATGTACTCGAGAAGTGTTACAAATCCAATCTTAGTCCTCAATTAGGAGAAGATGAATTATCTCACACAATATTTTTTATAGCTATCTAGTGCAATGTCTTTCATTATAATTTACCAGTAAGTGGATAAGACACTAGCTCGCTAGCCTGGAGGTCGTGGGTTGGATCCCTGCGTTGGCCGAGAAAGATCATCGGGATTTTCCAACGTGGTTTCATGATTATGTGCTTTGCTTTTTTGTCCATTGTCATGAATGTACCTGTTTCTTAGAATAATAAATAAATAAATAAACGTTTAAATTGATTGTATAATGCAGATGGCATTGCACAATGTGCAGTACAGAAACTTTCCACCAGTCCCTTCCAGTATTTATTTGGTTTAACAAAATATACAAACGGCACAGACCGGGTGTCCTCACCGCAAATGGCGTTTAAATTTGGAGGAAACATACCGGAAGTGTACAATGGGACAGACGTTGTGCGCGGTATTATCGTTAGTAAATGGGAGAGCTGTATTTATTGGGCGAAAGACGATGCTACCATGCGGACTACTTATTACTTCAGTTGTAAGTTTTTAAATATCTGATACCATTTCCCATTTTAGTATTTTACCTGGTGATCAAACGTTTTGTTAAAGTGTCCCTCTTGTTAACTTGTGGGGCTCACGGTGGCTAAGTGGGTAAGACGCTGGCTCGCTAGCATGGAGTTCGGGTATTCGATCCCTACTTGGGCCGAGAAAGTTCATCCAGATTTGTCATTGATGCAGGAAGGAGGGCCTAACAAGAATGGGACGAAAAACTGAGGTCCTGGGTACACATTGGCGTGCACGTAAAAGATCCCTTGACAGTTTGAATTCGATATAAGAGTAGGCCGTAGTGCCGCTGTCCGGGCAAAATTTCCCTCATATCACTCTGTATGGCGTATGCCCGTCTTCATTACCCAGTTCGGAGCAGAACAGTAGGACGTTAAACCCCATTTCATTTCATTTCATTTCATTTTGTTAACCTGAAGGTCCCATGTTCGATCGCTGCGTTGGCCGAGAAAATTCAGGGAGGACCTGGAAAGGAACAACGTTTAGTCGTTCGACAAACTGATGTTACATGTACACATTGACAGGCACGTTAATTAACCCTTGACAGTTGGAATTCGAAATAATTTCGAAGGAGCGCAAAATTACCCCTATAGCTCACTGCATGGCGAATGTCCGTCTCCATTATCCCGGTCGGAGCAGAACCGTAGCATGTTAAATCCCATTTCATTTCATTTCAGTGCCCTTTCATCCTCGACAGCTCCAACAATAATCTTATTTAGCTATTTCCCGTACTGCAGAGCACCACCAAGAAACGTTAGCAATTCACTGTTAGCTACTCAGTCGACTGTATCACTGGCAGTAATCGCATCTAGTTATTCGGATGGGACGAAAATCCCATGCCCATCAGTGTGCACGTTGTCATGCACGTAAAAGATCCATTGGAAGTAGGGAGAACACGTCACTGGAGCACAAACGTAGAAAGTTAAAACCATTTTCATTTCTATATCTGTGTATATTTCTAGCAGAGGTCATAAGGGATAATGTATAATCGTTCGGATGGGATCAAAAACCAAGGTACCGTGTACACATTAGTATGCACGTAAAAGAACCCTTGACAACTGGAATTCGGTATAAGAGTAGGCTGTAATTCCTGTATCCGGGCAAAATTACCATCTTAGCACACGTTAAACTCTTCTCCATTTCATTTCATTTTTATGTCTATTTCTAGCATCGGTTAACTGGACAAACTCACTTGTAGAAGTTGAACCGGTGAGAGCGCATGTGTTTGGAAGAAGTAAAAACGCTACCGTCACACGTGACTGGGAACATATTTATGATTTTGCCGATTTTACAGACAACATTGTGGGCGATGAAAGTGAGACATATGAAGTAAGTGTATTTCAAATTAAAGATGCATTATGTAACATTAAGTGTATTTCATATTAAAGAAGCATTATGTAACAGTAAGTGCAAGGGGACCGCACTACACGCAAAACAAAATGGACAAGAAAAACCTGTTTTAGTATGTTATATTTGGTATTGTAACATGGACGGGAAATCTTCCGTTGTTCTTTTCGTTGAATACGCAGATTGTTTTCCCTCTAGTATATTGGGTGGAGCTTAACCGTGCAATAATTAGACATGTTCAATGTTATAGCACACTTTTGCTGGTTTACACTAGTTTTAGTAGAAATCATAAATAATAGAGAAGTGGGGTGGGTTTTCTGTGCAATAACAATAAGCATGTTGAGCAGTTGTCAACGTTACAAGTCATTTATAGCACGCTTCATTCGTTAACAGGTTTAACCCCTCAGCCTTCGGCCTCTGGTTAAACCTGTTAACTTAAGAAAGCTGTGCTATAAATATAACTCATATAAGGTCAATATTAAAGATGCATTATACAGGAGTTAAATCTGCCTATTGCAGGTCTTTCTGTTGATGTCAACTGTTAAATAAACTATTATTTACTATTATTTAGACATATATTCACATGACAAGCCTATAATCAACTCTAGACCATTGGATGGCTGAGATTTAAATGGATTGAACACGATCGCCATTTAATGATAATATTGAAAAACATTTCAGTCAAATTACTGGCTCATGATACTGGAGGTCCCGTGTTCGATCCGGTGAGGGCCAAAAAGTTCATCGGCATGTTGCGTCTTGGTCCCACTTTGTCAGTGGTGCAGTACCGAGGGCCCGCCAAGGAACACCGTATAGTCGCTCGGATAGAACGAAAGAAAACCGAGGTCTTGTGTACATATTGATGTGCACGTAAAAGAACCCGTGACAATAGTTGGAATTTGATATAAGAGTAGGCCGTGGTGTCGCTGTGCGGGCAAAATTGTTCTTCAAGCACACTGTTTGGGAGCACACAGTATGGCGTATGCCCGTCTTCGTCTGCCCAGTAGGGCGTTAAAGTCCATTTTATTTATTTAATTTCGTCTTGTGTATTTCAGGTCCCCCATCAAACATACTGTCCAGGACGTATTGTAACCAAGGAGATACCCACAATAAGCGACGCCTTTACTTTCTCGTCAGAAATCCTCGACTTAAACGCTCAGACAATAAATATAATCAAGGTAAAGTTCGGGCGTTTTTATATTCACCAACTCTCTAGTCGACAGTTATTAATAACAGTTATATGGACAACAATCATTGGATTATTATACACCTGTACGACCTTTCGTTAAATTTCCGATAACAATATCTAGTGTATTATACCCCGACGCGACGTTTCTATAACAGTCCGCTTTATGGCGATGCAGCTAGAAGGGTATGATTTATGACGAAACTGCAATTATACGAAAACAAATGCACTCTTGAGCACCATTGTGGGGCGAAAAAACTAGGCCATCTGTGCACCTTGGCGCACTCGGCAAACCTCAGCAGACTCCAGTACCCTACATCTAGCATCGGCTGTATGACGAAGTTCGCCACTGGAACTACTTTCAAGTTATCGGATTACCAACGACGTCGGCCATGGCGACGCTCTAATTTGAAGAATGTATTATCAGTCTGAAACTATTTGTCTTTCAAGTTTATCAATGACAACTTTGCACTGACAATTCTTCACAGTCTTCGAACGACACAATATTAAGAACTTCTTTCTAAAAGCGGCAAGTTTTCCTAATAAGTAAACCGATGCCGCATCGCAATTGTATAGGTGTAGGTACATACCACTTACCGTCATACAGCCGAATGCACCTTGGCGTAGGTTTTAGCGCCGCTGCCTGGGCAAAATGTCTTCTATAGAAAACTGTATGGTGTATACCCGTCTTCATTACCCGAGTCGGTGTAGAAAGTAGGACGTTAAACCCCATTTCATACCTTTCATTATTTATTGCAGGAATATTATGACTTTAACAGTCATCTCTTTCGCTATGATTATTACCCCGATGTTGCTGAAGGTACCCCAACCTATGGTACGAACTTGTTGACCAGAATACATGACTTCAATACAGGTAAATATATCATATATCTCCATGGCAATACAGGTAAATATATCATATATCTAACTGGTAATACAGGTAAATATGACATATATCTTCATGGTAATACAGGTAAACATAGCATAAGCATCCCCATGGAAATATAGGTAAATATACCAAATATTTCCATGGTAATACAGGTAAATATAGCATATGTCTCCCTGGTAATACAGGTAAATATATCATATCTATCCATTTTAATAACAGGTAAATATATCATGGATATATATATATACAGGTAAATATATCCTATACATCTCCATGGCAATTGAGGGACACAAAATATATTCTCGGGATCTAATCAAGACGGGTACTAGTGCCAGGCACTTTGTTACGTTCCGATTCAAATATCCGTCATCATCAGCATAGTTGAGAATTAATTGCGAGATGGTGGACCAATTTCATTTCATATCACCAGGCCCATTTCTTGGCGCTGCGGTGGCTTAGTGTGTAATAAACGGAGGTCCCGCGTACACATTGAAGTTCGCTTAATAGAACCATTGGCAGATAAGTGTAGGTCTTAAGCCCCATGTCATTTTATATGTTATTTCAGTTCAACAGACCATTTTATGTTGTCTGGGCTGCTGTATTACAATAATTGTTATGATTTAGGTGTATTGCCTGGTTTGTTGTACTACACAATTATGATTTAGGTCCCGTGAAGATATTGGCGTGAACGTAAAAGATACCTTGGCAGTTCGAATTCGATATAACAGTAGGCCGTAGCCCCGCTGTCCGGGCAAAATTTCCCTCATAGCCCGTCTTCATTATCCATGTCGAATCAGAACAGTAGACCGTTAAACCCTATTTTGTTATAATTTAGGCGTGGCATATATTGTGGATACTGTGAATGGTAATTGTTCTGTGACCCCCATAGATGCTACTGGATTAGATGCAGCTGTTGCACCTGGAGGAAATGCTCGCATCAGGACAAAGGAGGAATTTTTCGATCTGGCGGGGGTAAATTACGAATATACTGGAGTAGTAAGTGAGATTCTTTCATTAATTTGAATTGATTAATAGGTTGAACGACGGATTACAAATCCGCCAACTATGCAGCTCGTGAGTTCCATCCCACGGTCGTACGTGAGAAGGGATAATCACGTTTGCTTTCTAACTGTTCTTCGGCGATAATGTCAACTTAATAGTAAATAGGTCATTTCCAGACTGTTATATGAGGGCGAGAGAAAGAGATCATTGGTTGCACCACGGATTACAAATCCGCCATCTATGCAGCTGCGAATTCTATCCTAAGAAAGAATAACCACATTGCTGTCGACATGTTCTTCGTTGTTAACGTCAACAGAACAGTAAATAGGTCATTTCCAGACTATCGTATTATGAGAAAAAGAGGGGGAGGAACGATGGAAAGAGAGCGCGAGACAGAGAGACGGGGGCAGGGGAGAGAGAGAGTGAGCGAGAGACAGAAAGAGAGGAGAGAGGGGAAGGGGGATTTCAATACTATCATATGAGAAAGAAAGGAAAAGACATGGTTGGTGGGAGGGGGGGGGGGTATAACGTACACATGCTTATAAATAGATTTTTTCCTGGTATATCTTTTGCCAATAATTCACATGCGTACAAAGGTCGTGAGTAACCCTGATAACTAACGACAAGAGTTAAGTCCCTTGATAAATTGAAACAAGTCCTTTGATAAACTGAAACAAGTCCCTGGATAAATTGAAACAATTTTTGAACACTCTGTATATAGATGAATGCATGAATAAAGATATATGTCTTGATATGCTGGTCTACATAAACTGAATGTATATTCTATTATCCAGAAAAAAATTCGGGGAATAGACTGTGATGTGTATACTGCTCAACGAAATGATTGGCCGGTACCAGGAGATAATATTATCTCGAACTGGGAATGGTCGTTTGCTACAGTAAGTTCTTTTATACTGAATATTAACGATACGTGATGAGTTGCGTCAATGTAGTTTTAGAGTTTTGGCTTCGGCAGATTTTTGCGCCGCGTACGTATGAGTTCTGGCATTGGGGCGCTCTTTTTAGTGATTAAATTCCAGTTCTGATCATGCGTAAAACCACATCAAATAAATGCCTTCGTGTTGTAGTATATTAACAGATTCATAAACACCCTATGACACAAAATTCAGCGTCTAAAAGTAGGAAAAAAGACGCTAAAAGGAGGAGGATTTTATACGGACCTTTTCCGTGTGAATGCTGTTTGATACGTGCTGCCGTGTTCGTATGCCGCGTTACGTGTGGGAACTACACACAAATTGATGACGTAATACGACAAATCGTTACGGACGCGCTCTATGGACCAGGATTTTCGCTTGCCAAAAGTTTCCATTATGCAGGTCTATTTCGTGGCATCAAATATTAAATTAATTATTATTTAGACATTTATTCACATGACAAGCCCGTAATAAACTCTAGAACGTCGGATCACCGCGATTTAAATCGATTTGACTGGCCGCCAGATTTAACGATTTTTAACGATAACATGGTTAATCGAGACTTAGTCTCGGTTCTCATGTACCGTTGTTATGATAATTAACGATCTACGCCACATCTTTAAACTGTCATAACTTCGCCCAGAATAAAGTAATTTGAATGTAATTTAAAATATATTAATTTTTTATTATCTATTTTTGAATTATTTTAAAAAGAACGGTGGGCTCTTTATCTAAATCTTACATAATGCATCTTTAACAAACTACAAATCAGATAGGCTCTATTAATCAATCTGATCAAAATACAGATCTATATTTCGTTTCGTTTTTTATACTTTCGATGACCTACACTACATGAAGATCTGACCAGTAGTACTGGAAGGTCGCGTCAGGGGTCGTACAAGCGGCTTTTGAGCCTATGACGTCAGACATTGATGAATCAATCAGCTTTGACGTTTCTAGTGGTTTACCCACAGTTTCATGCATGACACGCCAAGAAGTCGCAGTAACAGATGGTTTCATTGGCTAATCCCTCACGCCATCCAGAACGCCTGTTATATAGCAACGCTTCCAGACCCTAGTGTACTACAGACAAAACGAAACGAAATAGGGTTTTAATCAGATTGTGACAATCTATGAAATCTGGTCTCAGGTCTCATTTAAAAAATGTATATTTTTGGCGGATGCATTAACCCCAGCTCACTAACCAGGCCGTCCAGAGTTTGGTCCCGGTGTTGCGTTTTACAGCATTATTTCACTTCGTCACGGGAAATTTTTTGGCCGACACCGGGATCAAACCCAGGGCCCTCCTGCTACCATGATCATTGAGCCACATCAGCTCTGTTTTATCATAATAATGTATTATTATTTTAGCAAGATTGGTTAGAAAGTGTTGGTTATCAGTTTGAATTTAATCTTCCAATTCAGTTTAGAGTTACCTCTTATGATGTAAGTATATCGGGGGGTTTGATGGCCGCATGGTTAGCACGGGCGCGTTGTATCATAAGGTCTGCCACTGAGTCAACTAGCGTGGTTTCGATTCCCCGGTTGACGTGACAAGGAGTAGAGTCGCCTATCCAACCTCGTGGGTTTTCTCCGGGTCCTCCAGTTTCCTCTCACTGCTAAAGACACCTACACGCAAGCGGATTATTGAAATTAAATTGAACCATATGTTAGTCCCGAAATGACCTAATTTGCGTCGAGTGGACGATAAACCCCATCTCTCTCTCTCTCTCTCTCCCTCTTTAAGTATATCTGGTTTCGATTCGCAACTTGTGCGTGACTAGGAGTAGAGTCGACTGTCGCATGTGGTGGGTTTTCTCCAGGTCCCCCGGTTCACATCCACTGCTAAAGACTCCTATGCAAAAACGAAATAAAACTGGACCATATGTTGGTCCCGAAATGACCTAGTATGTGTAAATTAGGCGTTAAACTCCATGTCGCCCTCTGTCTCTCCCATAGATACTACATGACCATTGACAGTATTATATTAAGATAGATATTTCAGGCTCCAATCGATAGAGTCTGAAATACTAATTTATATTTCAGACTATACCATATATAGTACGTATATGACATATATATTTAAAACTCCCATATATTGATAATACTATTTATCACCTAATAATACTTTCTACAGTAGATAATCGCTTGTGTGATAAATTTCATAATCTACTACGGAGATATCGCTTTACATGAATTTGATTGGCCAGTTAAAAAGGAACTACTTTTTTATTTTCAAAAGAACAGTTCATTTCTTTATTAAAAGTAACTTTTATTTTATTAAAAATGAACTGTTTTTGTTTAAATGACCTTGATGCAAACACTGGGTCAATATAAAGGAATTTGCAATGGTTGAATTGCTGTTAAAATATGATGTATCACTATGCCGTAATGTAATCAAGTTCAGTAAAAGTGAAGTCTATAGCAAATAATTATATTTATTTATTTGTGCATGTAAGAACGGATTGGGTGATAAATAAAATATCCTACTCGTCTTTTTTTATATCAAAAAATATCAACACTCGTCGTTAAAGTAAAAAAATATCTCGGCAGAACCTCGTTTTTGTTTTATTTTATCGACTTGTGTTGATATTTTTTGATATCAAAAATGACTCGTAGGGGATTCCCTATTTAACCTGCATTCGTATTTTAGACTATTCTGGATACTATATATATTGATGTACATGTATAATATTATATATAATTTATCTTTCAGACTGACATAGATACTGTATATAACCTCTATTCGTATAAAGAGGACAGACCTTATATCTGGAAGTTTGATATTTCGCCTTGTTTTAGTTTTGATAACAGAAAGGATATACAGTTTGCCTTAAACGGTAGGTTGGGGGCAAAACAATATTAGTAATGGGGAGTTATCTTCCGCTGATGCATTGGTGGGAAAACAGTGTCACATTTACTGATGTTATTTGGTGGGAGGGGGGTTGGATGGCCGAATGGTTAGCACGTGCGCGCTGTATCATAAGGTCTGCCATTCCGTCAACTGGCGGTGTTTCGATTCTCCGGTTGTACGTGACAAGGTGTAGGCTCGCCTGCCCAACCTCGTGGGGTTTCTCCGAGTCCTCCGGTTTCCTCCCACTGCTACAGACCCCTACACTCAAGCGAATTATTGAAATAAAATTGAACCATGTATTAGTCCAGAAATGACCTAGTTTGTGTCGAATAAACGTTACCCCCCCCCTCATCTCTCTCTCTCTCTCTCTCTCTCTCTCTCTCTCTCTCTCTATTTAGTGTGAAAAATATTACAGTTATTTGGTGGAAAAACAATATTAAAATAGGAAAGCCAGCCAGAAAATCTAGTTAAAGTCTCATCTTTATTCGCTGCCTTTGTTCTCTTTGGTGGCTGTTAACTAAACGTACGCTTTCCGACGACAATTCGCTCCGCTTAAGAACAGACATTTAGCTGGTTGACCGACTTTTTAATTCCAATATTGACGATTTTAGTCGAAAACGCTATGTTTATTTTGAGAATGTTGAAGTATATATCCTGTTTTCATTTAATAAGATTCAAAGGGTTTTATTAGTCCTTTTTTTGTATAAACGGAGTAGGGCCGCATTACAAAACAGTTGGATATGGCTGCCATTTAGGACAGAGATCTATTCTAAAAGAAGAGTAGATAGTTCTCTGTGTCCAGAATGTGGTGTCTAGTGAATCTTGTCCAATCTAAAGGTACCCTGGCTTGGTGAAAGTTCTGGCGTTTCCCTGACCACCAACCATCAACATAGCGAAAAACTACTTAGGTAAAGTGTCAAACATAGGTTGCCAGACAACGAAACATACGCCCGGGGAGTCAACGAGAGTTGTCGCATATTTTTTTTCTTTTGTCAGATATTGGCTTCTGCCCTATTCTAACATTTAGCATACACAACATTTAATATCAATTGCCATAATCATCAGAAATTGTTGAAAATTGATAGGTCATAACTCTGGCAGTATGACCGTAAACAATGTGTATAAATTTAAATTCAATCGCATATTAAGTTTGGCCTCTAGAGCACCCACAAGTAATTCGGGACGCCGGGCCGATGGACGGACGGGGACGACGACAATATACGACCACATTTCTATGTGAGGCTATAAAAATGAAATGAAGTGAAATGGAGTTTAACGTTCTACGGTTCTGCTCCAACTTGGCTAATGGAGACGGGCATACGCCATATAGTGTGTATGCGGGACATTTTGCCTGAACATCCCCGCTACGGACTTATATCCAATTCCAACAGCCCAGGGGTATTTTGCGTGCACGCCTGTGTGTACACGGTACCTCGGTTTTTCGTCCCATCCGAAAGACTAGACAGCTGTCCTTGTCAGGCCCCCTTGCTGCTCCCCTTACAAGGGGAAACCACGCCGGAAAATCTCGATAAAGTAAAATGGGTTTAACGTCCTATGGTTCTCTCCAACTGGGCTAATGAAGATGGGCATACGCCATACAGTGTGCTATGAGGACGAATTTGCCCGGACATCGGCTCTACGGTCTACTCTTATGTCAAATTCCAATAGCCCAGGGATATTTTGCGTGCACGCCTATGTGTACACGAGATCTCAGTTTTTCGTCCCATCCGAACGACTGAACAGCTGTCCTTGTCTGGCCCCCGTTTTCTGGATCACTGACAAGCGGAAAATCTGGATGAAGTAAAGTATCAAACATTTTTAATTATACTAAGAGGAGAACGCATGTTACCTTTTATTGATTTTTTTTTATATTTTTTTGAATTTCAGGACAGTTTCGACAGATAGTGGAACCGAATGAATTGTTATTTAAAGATTTTGTTGTTGTCAGTATCGCCGGATTTAGTAGTGTTTCTCCTCTACGAGTAGCTAACTTACAGGTTTGTTGTGCAGTTAATAAGTTTCTAGCTTTCCCGATTTGGCTCTGGACTGATTTTGTTTCCTAGCCAGTTTGCCTCAGAAGCCGTTTGGACTCGATGCATGATTTGAGTCAGTATCTAACATAAAGTTTTGCTAAATAAACTATAAACATACTTATGGAAATCTGCTACTGATTTATTTAGGCGACGTTTCGAAGAGTATTATCTCAACGTTTTCAAGCTAATAAGTATGTTTATAGTTTATTTAGCTGCCCAGGTTCTAAATGCCACTTAAAGAATAATAAAGGTTTGCTGTTTAATTAATAAGAAATAGCGAGAACTTAGCTTTGTTTTTGGATTCATTCCTGTTTTGCGGTTTGGCTCAGTATTCGGTTTTGCTATGTACAGGTTTGGTTCGGTATCCTGTTTGACCCTGTACATGATTTAACCCAGTCTACGATTTTACACGGTGCTCGGTTTGGCTCAGGACCCGGTTTGGATTTGAATTTGATTTCACTCGGTAGCCTACCTGGTATGACACGCTACCCAGTTTAATTCGGATCCTGGTTTGGCTCGGTACCGGGTTTTGATTCAGTATCCGGTTTGATACCTTATTCTTCTTTTATTAGTGTTTATCGCGCGGGTCCTTCGAGAGTATTATCGCAGGGGTCTTTCCTGTGGGGGAAACTGGAGTGCCCGGGGTAAACCCATGGGAATCAGAAGGCGCCACATCACTAAGCAACAGAGATTGAAAACACGACCCGCAAACCAGGGTTGACCGGTAAGCTGGAAGGGCGACACTCTAGGCCACTGGACAATGCCCAACGCTGCACCTAAATTACAACATGCTTTAATAATAATATACCCTGTTTCTTTTTAGTTCTCATACATCAATGATGATATTATAGTCAGTTTCTCGTTACTGGACGTAGCACCTATAACCGGTGACGTACAACACATAAAGGAACTGACGTTAGAAGAAGCTGACGCATTGTTTGAAAAAACAGTAAATAGTGGAGATTTTATAGTCAAAATGGATGTCGATACATTCAATGACGTAAGCAATGATATTTTGTACATTTTGGATTCTCGAATCCGCGAAGTGTCCACTAAAAATGTAAATCATAAAAGATAAAAAGGACAGGATGATAACGACTATATGTTAATGGAGGCCTATCCCGGGTTTCTTTTACAGTCACGTGTGCAATGGTAGTAGAATTGTGCCCCTTTATCTAATTCTTACAGTCAGATGATCTTTTAGGCTCTTGTAAACGACTAGAAATTATCTTGTCCCGATAACATTACCCTAGATTCGAATATTGTCCTTACACCATCCAACAAAGTTATATAAATTAAAGAATAGCCACAGATGTATAATTCATTTAAAATTTACGTCGGTTTCTGATAATTTCACACCGCCATCTCTATAAGTCATAAGCAAATAAAGTAATAATAATTATGTTTTAATGTTTGGTATACACGCCAACCCATGTCTGCTATGCTTGAGCACAATACAGTTCTTAGAACTAGATATTGTAATTGAGTGAACACATTTAAAATTTTAGACGGCAAACAAATCAATTCTAAAAAATTCGTCGTGATCACTGTTTAAGGAAAAATAGAAAAAAAAGTCAATGAAACTGTCTGTTGTGGCAAGTTCTTTGCAGCGAAGATAAAAGCAAAAGTTGTATTTCTAAATACCGACGTGAAACATCAAGTGTCTGACGTCATGACCCCTGACACGACCTCCCATTACAACCGGTCATATTTCATGCAGTAGATTCCATCAAAAGTTTAAAAAAATAAATAAATGAAATATAGCTCTGTATTCTAATCAGACTTAATTAATAGGATCATTGTTCATCAGATTGCATGATTTTCTACTTTCAGTTAGCAACATTACGAGCTACACCATATACTTATAAATCAACTGATGTGTATTTAAATGCAGATAAAAATGTATATATTACTGCTTCTGATGGATATAGCTCAGGTAATTAACGCGATGGGGGAGATGGGGTTTAACGTCCACTCTGCATTAACTAGGTCATTTCGGGACTGGTATATCATTCAGTTTTATTCCACGAATTCCCTTACGCGTTTGAGGAAACCAGTGGACCCTGGACAGGTAACCCTACTCCTTGTCACGCACAAGCGGGGGAGAGGGAGCTGATATCTTGCAAAGTACAAAATACACGCGCCCGCCTTCATTAGCCCATTATGTGCAAAAGAGTAGGACGTTAAAGCCCATTTCATTTGAACAGTATATTGGGTTTTTCCATGCCCACGTGAGCTCAAAGGTAAGGGTAAGAAATCATACTTTACCTGTTTTTAGAAATGTGTGGAGAGTGGTAGAATTGCCTAATCTTGTATCGAATTCCAACAGAAAGGGTTCTTTTACGTGCACGACAACTATACGTTGTTGCTTGCCAGGATCTCGGGCCCTCTGTTCTGCACAACGAACAGGGAGGAACCGTACCGAAAAATCCGATGAACTTTCTAGAGAATGGCATAGTATCGTACTTTTGAGTATAACCCAAACTGGTTGGGATAAAGGTATTCTAAATATACACAGTCGGTCAGTGGCTTGATTATAACCATCTCATTACATTTCCGTGACGTAACATTTACCGTTGTAATACTATGGGGGACAGTCACTGCTATGTGTATATAGTATCTACTAATATTTTGTATTTCAGGGTCAATGGCTGGCTTAGGAATTGCTATGATTATAATTTCGTTCGGAATCGGATTTGGTATTCTATTTTTCGTATTTAAAATGAAGGGCCGTACAATGCCGAATCCATTTGCCGTTGGGTTTTCGCCAAAACGATTTGGAGACAATACAGAGATAAAGGCTGAAGAGGGCAAATAATTTAAAAGGTGTATTCATAAAACAGTTTGTGGGACTTTATTTAAATCGTTAAAAATCATGTACTTTCAAATATCACTGTTTACAAAGACCATTGGAAATAGTAAATCTTATTCGATTCTGGAATGACAAAAAAAAACCAACAAAAAAACAAAACAAACAACCCCCCCCCCCCCAAAAAAAATTTTGAAGATTAAAACATGCATGGATACACGTAGTTCCTTATTTCGTTTCGGTTTTATTTTTTAATTTGTATTATATAAATTTTGTTTCATAAAGGTTAGTATACAACAACAAAGCGAAATCCTGAATAACAGAAAAACATTATTAAATATTAACAAATGCACGGATACACAGTAAATTCTTCATTTCGTTTCGTTTTTTTTTTAAATGTTTATTATTTAAATTTGGTTTCGTATAGTATAGTATATATAACGACATTTGATCAGATTGTGTATATGACGAATTATTTATTACTAGCAGGATACCCGGCTTCGCTCGGGGGTCATAACTCCGAAACCGGAAGAGGTAGACTAACGCCACCTGGCTTATGTTACTCCCCGGTCCGACCTACCCCTATACCCCAAATTTCAGACTCGGGGCAGACCTAGTGTAGCCGCCAACCCCGAACAGACCGGCTTCGCTCGGGGGTCATAACTCCGAAACCGGAAGTGGTAGACTAACGCCACCTGGCCTATGTTACTCCCCGCTAACCCCGAACAGACCGGCTTCACTCGGGGGTCATAACTCCGAAACCGGAAGTGGTAGACTAACGCCACCTGGCCTATGTTACTCCCCGGTCCGAGCTACCCCCATACCCCAAATTTCAGACTCGGTGCCGATGTAGCCGCCAACCCCGAACAGACAGACTTCGCTGGGGGGTCATAACTCCGAAACCGGAAGTGGTAGACTAACGCCACCTGGCCTATGTTACTCCCCGGTCCGAGCTACCCCTATACCCCAAATTTCAGACTCGGGGCAGACCTAGTGTAGCCGCCAACCCCGAACAGACCGGCTTCGCTCGGGGGTCATAACTCCGAAACCGGAAGTGGTAGACTAACGCCACCTGGCCTATGTTACTCCCCGGTACGAGCTACCCCTATACCCTAAATTTCAGACTCGGGGCAGACCTAGTGTAGCCGCCAACCCCGAACAGACAGACAGACAGACAGACAGACAGACGACAGTCACATATATATATATAGATTTATTCATTTATTTCATATTCAACCTTAAATTAAACAAACACCCACGGCAAAATCTAAGGCCCAATTCAGATTTCGTCAAGGTCGCAAGATGTAAATAGGGTTAGGGCACATGATTGTTGACGAGATTGTAAGTTAGGGTTGGGTTAAGGGTTAGCGCTAGAGCCGTGTACATCTCGTGACCTTTGACCAAATCTGCAGAGGGCCTTAACTTTTAAAACTAACAAACTCCCAAACATCAATTGCTGAAAGGTGTGTAATGCTTCGAATCAAGATATTCACTCGGAGTGGATACGACATTTAGAGGGCTAATAGTTCTATTCTTTGGAACTTTAAAATAGATGAAATTGGGTCTAAAAGCACATATTAATGTAATATGAATGTATATAAATTGATTTATATTCAATGTTTAAATTTTTTATTGTAATTTCTAATCAATTATGTTCGGTGAAATACGTGAACAGTTAAAATTTAACGCCTTATACCTGAGGGTTTTTTTTGTTTTTTTTTTTGTTTTTTTGTTTATTTTATTATTAATTTGTCGTTTATGAAACAGCTATTACTAATTAATTCAGCATTGCCTTGTAGGACATGGTTGTATTTGTTCATTACACATGGCCCCCGAAACCATAGAATACACGATTCGTGTGCTGATTTTAAAATGTTCATTATGTCTGAAATATTGGTTATTAGGATCCCATACTTTCACGCCAAGATAGCAACATCAATATTGGTTGCTGTGAATCAATTTTGAATTGTAATTGGTGTTATTTATTTTGAATATTATGGGAAATATTGAGTTAGAGGGTTAGCTCCTTTAACCAGTCAAAGTTAGTTTTAAATTTATTATATAATATAACGTCTAGTCAAAAGTTCCAACAAATATGGCACCATGACATTAGGAATGACCTAGTGAACAATACAAGGGGGGGGGGGGGGCGGGATTTCGTAATGTTATAATTTTAAATGTTTGGAAGGTATACCCCATCATTGATGCAGGACGGAGGGGCTGAGAAGGAAAGCTGTCTAGTCGTTCGGATGGGACGAAAAACCGAGGTCCCGTGTACACATTGGCGTGCACGTAAAAGATCCCTTGACAGTTGGAATTCGATATAAGAGTAGGCCATATTGCCGCTGTCCGGGCAAAATTTCCCTCATAGCACACTGTATGGTGTATGGCCGTCTTAATAAGCCCAGTCGAGCAGGATATAGGACGTTAAGCCCCATTTCATTTCATTTCACACGCCATCATTTTTACAAACACGTTGACATACTGTAAATAGCCGCGTCACAGTTATCGGACAAACTCTCATTAAAGGGGGATAATAATATATTGGTGATAATGGAATAATCGATGTTGTACAAAACTTGCCATATTCTAAAATGAAATAAGATGATTTCAAATTGGTATTCAAACTTGTATTTAGAAATTCCATTTAATTATATACAAGCAAATAATTTAATGTAGTTTAACGTCGTATTTTTCTGCAACAGGGTAGGTGATTGGCGGAATTGTTTACGGGCGGGGCGAGTGCGATGACCAGGTCACGCATTGATTCAAGTGGCGTTGATTTGATACACCACTTGTACGTGACAAGCGGTAGGTCGCCTGTACATCCACGTGGTTTTCTCTGGATATCCCTGTTTCTCTCCACTGCTAAAGACAACCACGCGAAATGACCCAGTTTGTTCCGAGGGGCCGTTAAACCCATCGCGGGTTTTCTCCGGGTCCTCCGGTTTCCTCCCACGCGCAAGGGAATTATTGAACCAGATAATTTAACCAGATAATAGTTCCGAAATGAACTTATAAATGAATAAATGAATACAATATTGTTGAATGGCACAAGCGGGGTATTTTGCGCCAAACAGTTTGGGTTAGGCTTAGCATTAGGGTTATGGTGACGTTACTCGAACATTATAAAAGCAAAGTAGATAATTTATGCAAATTTATTCAATTTGATAAATGACATCATCAGAAAAGAAATAGATATATATGGTTTGAATTTTGTTTTTCAAAAATTCTAAATTTAAAGAATCTGGTTTTCACTTCCGCACGCCATTAGACATTCGGTAATGGTGTCAAACTTGTTCTCGTTGCCAGAACATCCACCGTAGATGAATTTTTCACATCTTTTGGTTTCTTGATCCCAATGATATCGTGGAAAGAATCCTTTGCACATACCCGGCTTCGCTGGTAAATTACAAACTGAAAATAAACAAATACGTCAATAATTAGAGATACACATGTACATTATGTAAGATTTAGATAAAGAGCTGGTCGTTCTTGCTATAATAGTTCAAAAAGAGATAATGCAAAATGAATATACTGAAAATGTTATTCAAATTACTTTATTCTGGGCGACGATATCAGCCCTTGAAGGTTTGACATCATTTCGTGTGCACTAATTGTAAGCACCATACTGGTTGTTCGAGTCTTAGCTTAGCTTCACCATTTGTAAATTAAATCATAAAATGGTCGACCCGATCTAATCTACTTAACATGGGACCTTAGGTCCTATCCGATGGCATCGGGAGTTGATTATGGTCTTATCATGTAAATACATGTCTAATTATCATTTAAGGCCTAAAGAAAGGCCTGCAAATAGGCATATTTAGCTCTTGCATAATGTATGTTTGAATAAATAAATAAAAATCCGGACATATATTCCCACGGGACACCACGACATCCTACTCAGTGAGTCAGTGCATTGAACATATAACAACAAATATATAATTAAGTTTTGTACCATCATAATAAAGCTTTAAGAATTTGACTGTTCTGTCGTTCGGATGGAACAAAAAAACGAGGTCTCGTGTAAAAGAACCCTTGCCAGTTGAAATTCGATATAAAACTAGGCCTTAGTGCAGCTGTCCGGGGAAATTTCCCTCCTAGAACACTCTATGGCATATGCCCATCTTCATTAGCCCAGTCGGTGCAGAACAGTAGGACGTTAAACCCCATTTCATTTCATTTACTTATATTGAGGTATCTATCGCGCTATGAGGAAACTTTCGCATCAGTACGAAAACGTCATTGGTTCGTGTGTACATGTGACATCAACCTGTACATGAGTGTTCGGTCAGTGAAAAACTGGATTGACGTACGTATGCAAACGAAAATGTTTCTTGTGTCATTATATTGAATTTTCACATTTTTGAGGCCTTGTTTATATTGTTGATTGTGTAGAATTTGTAGAATGTGCTCAAATGCATTATTATGCTTGATTGGTTGTATATCTGTCAAAAAATCTATTGGAAAAACTTTGCCTGGAACGCGAAGTTCATGGAGTGAAATTAACGCCATCTAGCTATTATCGTAGGTCGGATTGTGAAACCGTTTGTTAGAGGACATGAAAACAAAAAATATTATGTTCGTTTTAGTGTTCGTTTTCGTACCGTTAAAGGTCCATATTGACCCCTATACGCTTCCATACTTCTCTTCTCTCTCGCATATATTGTCGTAATCAACGTACACAACACATACCATCACGGCCGAACTGACCTTTGACCTATTGTATTCAATAAAGAACAATGAAACGGGTACATGTGACATAACCATGAATAGTTCACGACCAGGAAATAAGATCAAAGCTAACGTAGCAAATAGTATTTTATCATGTAAACATTAGACTGGGACCAAAGAACGCAATAAGAGTTCGAGCGATTGACATAGTTCTGCCGAGACAAGTTGTTACATTTCAACTGTATGAATGACAATTTTTGACAACAAACTCTTCGAAAATAAATCAAATTTATATTTCAAGAACTGTTAAAGCGTTAACTCACATTTCTAATTAATGTGTGTTTGTTAAAAAAAAATAATGCTTGACACTTTTTAAGGAATTTCAAGCACTGAAAAATAGCAGGGTCCACCCCCCCCCCCCAATTACGTACTATATTAATTTAAAAATGCTCTGCATGACCGTGCTGCATATTTCCCTTACTGTATAAAGCCCACGACACCCTCGTCCGCGATCCAGAGCTGGACGTTTTCAACTGATGGATTTCTCGAATTTTATAACTCAGGTCTGTTAAAATAGGTTTACGTAGTATGTTAAAAAGCCAAAGTGACGAAATTGATAGTTCCCCAAGATTTTCCAGCGTGGCGCAGGACTGAGGTTCTGACAGGACCGCGTCTAGTCGCTGGATGGGACGAAACACCGAGGTGCAGTGTATACGTTGGTGTGCACGTAGAGAAACCGGGACAGTGGGAATTCGATATAATCAATGAAAGAAATGTTGCTTAATGGCAAGTCAGCACCAATATCGCGCCAAATACATTGTGATAGTAATTAGACAAGTTAAATCGTGTCACAAAATATTACATGCATAAATAAAAACAACGTATAGTCGTTCGGATGGGACCGAGGTCCTGTGTACACACTGGCGTACACGTAAAAGAACCACTGAAAGTGGGAATTCGAGATAAAAGTAGATCGTAGCGCCGCTGTCCGGTGCAGAAAATTGGGACGTTAAAACCCATTTCATTTCAGGTCACGTCTGTTAACATTACATGTTTTACCAGGGGCGCTGACAACACGTGATAAATAAAGGGTGTTTCATGTTTCTACGCCCCTGGAGATTTACTAACAGGATCTGGCGCGCTTTCTCGCCATTTGTTCAAAACAATCGATACTACTGAATTCTGTTTTTTGAGATGGCGACTAATAATTTTAAATAAATACTTATTTTAATTTACAGTAGCTCTGTGTCGATCTTCACAGGCTGGTTAAAAAGCTAATTTTCGATTTGTTATGATTTCATGGCAAATTGTGCACAATTTTAACGGCGAATTAGTTTAAACATACATTATGCAAGAGCTAAATTTGCCAACTGCACGTCTTTCTTTAGGCCAGAAATGTTATCTAAATTATTAATTGGACATTAATTAACTTATCCAGGCCATAATCAACTCTCGATGTCATCGCTAGCCTGCGATATATAATGGATTAAAATCATATCTGCTGCTTAGCGCTCATTGATAATTAATTTTTAAAAATGGATAATCGAGACTATGTTTTTTTTTATCGTACCGACTTTAGTAATGATGATCGAGGCCAGGCCCAAAATTCAATCGCAAAATTCTCGGTTCATATTGGATCAATTTGACTGAAATTTTCAGCAAATTCCCTTTACATGATCTAGTTTTTAACTATTATAGTGAGAGCTACAAGCTCTTTATCTTATCTCACATAATGTATTTTTAAATATGCCAGTGCGCTTGAAAGATCAATAATTATTGTTAAGCAATATGATTATTATCATAATTAATGAAAATGAAACTTGAACAAAGAATCACGTGTCAAGAACTCCAGAGTGGCACAAAAACTTAAGGAGTCGCAAAATTTCTAACTACTTGCCGCAAAACACGTCATTGCGCGTGATTCACAAAGCCCGCTAATGATGTATTTGCTCGATAACGTTAAGCGAATACTTTTCGATGCGCCGCCGAAAAAGTTTGTAAATGGTTTCTTTTATAAAGTATGTGTTATAGATTATTACCCTTAATTATGGCTATTTTGAACATTTTATTATATACAAAAATTACATTTTTTGTCTCTTTAGACGGAGACCGTTATAGCTTAGCACTATCACTCAATTGATAGTGCCACGGTAACCCAGTAACTATGAAGTAAAATGAAATGAAATGGAGTTTAACGTCCTACTGTCCTGCTCCGACTGGGCTATTGAAGACGGGCATACGCCATACGGTGTGCTATGAGGGAGGAAGGAGATTTTGGAGTACAGTAGGACGTTAAATCCCCTTCATATCATTTAATTTACGTTCCTGTACGTAGTTGTTTAGTGTAAAATTTATGCCTCACACCCAAATATCAATTTAGTATTCCGATAATACAACCCCACAATGATCCCCATCTCACGATAACCTGTTACATCCGACCAGTGTTAATCCCATTACTTGTTATATCCGGCCAAGGTTAATCCTACTAATTAGCCACCGACTTTGATGCTGAATTAGCCATCACAACTTTTAGTGAATATCGTGCAGATATTGGCTAGGTTTGGAATATCAATTGACTAATGAACTTGTAGTCAAACTAACAAGTCATTATTTTTAAATAAAAGTCAACATTACGTAATCTATATAAGTCAAAAACTGCGTAATTTAATCAATGGAATACCGCTTTAAATATTTAGTTCCAAATGAACCAGTTATCGCCCAGGTTATTACTTTGATGAAGCCCGTTTTCCATGTGCGCGTTTTCGCCCGATACATGGAATGAATGAATGAATTAAATGTTGTTTTATGGCACGTCAGCACCAACCGAGCTATATTGCGCCAAACATATGGTGATTTATGCGATACAGGTTTAAAAATATATATCACAGAAAATAAAAATATATGCATAGATAAAAAAAAATATAACAGTAAATAAAATTAAAAATACAAATAATCTTTTATATAACTAATTAAAAGATACATATACAATTAAAATTTTTGTTACAAATCTGTCTCTTTTAGATTATCACATCCAGTTTCTTCGAGTGTTTGTAACACATCTACCGTAACAATGATCTCTGTGTTAAAATTATATTTGGAATGTGTTTAACCAGTTCTGTCGGGGGACCACGTGGTTAAGTGGGTAAGACGCTGGCTCGCTAACCTGGAGGTCGGGTGTTCGGTCCCTGCATTGGCCGAGAAAGTTCATCCAGATTTTCCGGCGTGGTTTCCCCTTGTCAGTGATGCAGGACGGAGGGCCTGACAAGGACAGCTGTCTAGTCGTTCGGATGGGACGAAAAACCGAGGTCCCGTGTACACATTGGCGTGCACGTAAAAGATCCCTTGGCAGTTGGAATTCGATATTAGAGTAGGACGTAGCGCCGCTGCCCGGGCAAAATTTCCCTCATAGCACACTGTATTGCGTATGCCCGTCTTCATTAGCCCAGGTTAGTAGCAGAACAGTAGGACGTTAAACCCCATTTCATTTCATTTCATTTAACCAGTTCTGTCACATATTGTCCTGTAACGCTCTACTGTTCTGCTCTGACTGGGCTAATAAAAACGGCAGTGTATTATGAGGTAAATGTTTCCCGGACAGCAGCGCTAAAGCTTATTCTTATATTGAATTCCGACTGCCACGGATTTATTTACATACACGCCAATGTGTACACGGGACCTCGGGTTTTCATACCACCCGAACGACTATACAATAGTTGTATGGCGCATATGAATCCGTGTGTGAATATATTGGAGTATGGTATGTACATGTAAAAGGTTGGCCAGCGGTAACATAAATATAGCCGATTTCTATGTTTCTATTAAGAATATTTTACGAGCCTATATTAAGCAAATGGTGTCAGGCATTAAACTAAAGCTTGTCAAATTACTTATCGAAACAACCCAATTCACAACTTTATTTAGACCAAAAATCGGAAACCGTAAAATAGTCCAGATATCATGAAAATCTTATCTTAGATTAGAATCGATAGCTATAATGTCAAAAACTGGATATTATGCTCCTATAATATAAGAAATTGCCCCGAATTAACAATGCATTCTCAAACTTAAGTTAAGAATTTGCTCAAAATTTTTCGCCTTTTTTAACTAAAATGTAGCCCTTTAGAATCGATAGCTATATATAATGTTAAAAATCGGATATTATGCTCCTTTAATATAGGAACTGGCCCCAAGTTAACAAAGCTTTTTCGGGCTTAAGTTAAGAGTTTACTCAAAATTATTGTTCGCCTTATTTTAACTAAAATATAGCCCTTTATAAAACTGTTGTTGTTTTAATGTATCAAATACATCAATTGGAAATTATGTGCAAAGTTTTGTGTTACTGGATCAAAGATATTTCTTGCACAAACAATGATTGAAACTGTCTGAGTATGCTTTGTGAACTCGGGGCCCAAACTGAAGGGAATGAAAGGGATTTAGCGTCCTACTTTTCTGCATCAACCAGATAATGAAAATGGCCATACGTTTACGAGGGACATTATACCTATTCCTCGTCGGATTTCGCGGTGTTGGGTGGCCTAATTGTCTGGCATTGAGTGGCGTGGTTTCGATTTTCTGCTTGTGTGACACGGGCTAGCGTCGCCTGTCCAACTTCGTGGATTTTCTCCGGGTCCCTGGTTTCCTCCCATAGCTAAAGACGAAATATTGAAATAAAACTGAACCATGCGTCTCAAAATGACCTAGTTTGTGTCGAGTGAACGTTAAACCCCATTTCTCTCTCTTGCGTTGCATTTCGAGTGACACGGCTTCTTTAACGTGTACACCAACCTATTCCTTGACCGACCCCCTTCTTCATGTAACCACTGACAACGGGGGATCACTCTAATAAATCTCTACCAACACCGGGATTGAACCGTCACCACCTGGTTAACTAGCCCAAACCTTACTAATATTATAAGAAATGTTTCCATACACAGATTTACAAACCATGTATCGGTCCACTGTTGGATGAAATTAATTTCGAGAGAGAAAGAGAGAGAGAGAGATGGGGTTTAACGTCCACTCGAAACAAACTAGGTCATTTCAATAATTCGCTTCCGCGTAGTGGTCTTTAGCAGTGGAAGGAAACCGGAGGATCCGGAGAAAACCCACGAGGTTGGAAAGGCAACCCTACTCCGTGTCACGTACAAATTGGGATTCGAAACCACGCCAGTTGACTTAATGACAGACCTTATGATACAGCGCGCACGTGCTAACCATCCGCCCCCCCCCCCTTTCGAAAGAACATAAACATTTAACTTAACTAAAACTTTGAATTCAAAATGTCCTTTTATGATACGTTTGAAACATAATTTAAGCTACTAATCGCATTTCAATTTAGAAGTCATGAAAGCTCCGTGATCATGGCGCTGACTCCCTAACCAGGAGTTCACGAGGTATTTTGGGACTTTCCAGGTTTGCCCTGTAAACCAGGAACTCACGAGGTATTTTGGGACTTTCCAGGTTGGCTCTCTAAACCAGGATATAACGGACTAGATCCCATGCTGACAGAGGAAGTTCCTCGAGATTTTCCAGTCTGTTTCCACACACGAAAAAGCGTCTAGTCGTTTGGATGGGACGAAAAACCAGGATCCGCTATGAATGCCGTTGGCAGCACTTTAGACATACCATGACAATGAAATGAAATGAAATGGGGTTTAACGTCCTACTGTTTTGCTCCTAAACTGGGCTAATGAAGACGGGCATACGCACAGTGTGCTATGGGGGAAATTTTGCCCGGGCAGCGGCGCTACGGCCTACTCTTATATCTAATTCCAATTGCCAAGGGATCTTTTACGTGCACGCCAGTGTGTACACGGGACCTCGGGTTTTCGTCCCATCCGAACGACTAGACAGCTGTCCTTGTCAGGCCCTCCGTCCTGCATCACTGACAAGGGAAAACCACGCCGGAAAATCGGGATGAACTTTATCGGCCAATGCAGGGATCGAACACCCGACCTCCAGGCTAGCGAGCCAGCATCTTACCCACTTAGCCACGTGATCCCCCACATACCATGGCAGTTGGAAATTGAACAAAAAAGTAAAACAGTAGCGCCACTGCGAGGGTAAAATTTTCCGCATAGCACACAGTATAGCGTATTCTCGTCTACATGAGCCAGGTTGGCGCAAAGGGTATGATATGCTAGACTCCATTTTGTTAAAGACTTTTACAAATTACTTGGTTAGAAATTTTAAAAACACAATATTTAATTTCATGTCTATCCCTGTAATTAAAAGGTAATCATGATTTTCATAGTTTTAAAACACACCAAGGCGTACGCCCGTTTTTAGCATGCTAGACGCCAGTTCATACCATTTTTTTAGACATATATACACACCTCTTATTCAGAAATTTTAAAAACAAACTTTCAATTGTATATATTATATAACTTTTAATGTTATGATTTTCCTTAAAAGGTAGAAACATATATAAATTTACTTACTCTCAGGTATGGCCTCAGATGGATACAAGAGACAAGACAGGGCAGCTAGACATAATATAACGTTGATCTTCATGGTGTAGAGGTATGTATTTGAACAAATCGTCGAGATAGATAAAGACCTGATATAAACTTGTAACACTGTTAATACACAGTAGACTTGTCGATAGAGGACAAACCCAACGACACACCTGTATATTTATATATACAGTATATTGACACAAGATTATCCAGTTGCTTTATTTATGTATTACGTCATTTAAACAACGGGAAGTTGTTGATAACCACGTATCGTAAAAGGGAGATACATCGGGTTAAACGCCCTACCTTTCTACATCGACTGAGAAGGGGGGGGGGGGGTAACGCCCACTTGACACAATCTGGGTCATTTAAATTTTATTTCAATAATGTTATTTAGAAGTGGGAGTAAAACAGAGGACCCGGAGAAAACCCACGTGGTTGGAGAGAGAGAAATGGAGTTTAACGTCCATTCGACACAAACTAGGTCATTTCTGAACTAACTTTGGTTTAAATTTATTTCAGCAATTCGTTTGCGCGTTACGGTCTTTAGCAGTGGGAGGAAACCCACGAGGTTGGACAGGTGACCCTACTCCTTGTCACGTACAAGCGTGAAACCAAAACAACTCCGCTTGATTCAATGACAGACCTTATGATACAGCGCCCATGTGCTAACCATTAGGCCATCCAGCGCCCTCTCCCACGCCCACGTGATTGGACAGGCGACCGTACCAATTGTCAAGTTCAAGCTCGGAATCGAAACCACGCAAGTGCATGTGTTAGCCCACTCAGTCACTCAACACCAAAATCTTAGAAACCAATTTAATGATTACAACACGTTGTACGGACGTTAAAACATCATCATTGCAAAAATGAATTAGGTCTACACTGAGTTTGATTTTCAAGGAAAGGAATTGATAGATAAATATTTCGCGCCTGGATGACCAGATCTACAATACCAATCTGTGTTTTCCCACCCTACGACCGTGTTATAATTCTAGATCAAGTATTCACATAAAATAACAGGAACATATTGAAATCACTTGGCCTCGTTGATTTGGCCCACTAAATAGGAGGCCCCGAGTTCGACCCCGGTGTTGATCTGCCTTGTGGGTGATGCATGACTTGTGTATTTTAAACCGCCTCCTTATATCATTATATAATTCCGTTGCAATGGAGTTTAACGTCCTACTGTTCTGCCCCGACTGGGCTAATGAAGACGGGCATACGCGATACAGTGTGATTTGAGGGAGATTTTGCCCGGACAGTCGCCCTTTTTTCGGCATTCGCATTTGCGTCGCAGTAAAGGCCAACTGGTGACAACAAGCCATAGACATTGATATAAATAGAACAAACAACTACTGACTCACGGTCTCATGCAAGAACTGTCAACATTTTCACCATCCCTCACGCAAGATGTATCTTAATTTTCATCATCCCCCATGCAAGAGCTACGATAATTTCTATCAGCTTGTGCAGAAGAAGAATATGGTTTACACTTATTCAGTTGGATCTAATTTCTTTATATATTTATTTTATTTTGGAATCCATCAATGTTATTCATTTCCAATAAAACATTTTATTTTTGCTTACATTTATATGTTGCTATTACGAAATTTATTTTGACTTCAAATGTTATATAAATTATTATACAGACATGTATTCACAGGACAATCACATGGCAATAACGTGATTCTGATTGTTAAGTATATGAGAAAGCTTCACCCATTTAATGATTTAATTTAAAATGGAAAAACTAGACCGAGTCTCGATTAACAAGTATCGTTGTTACGTTAATAAAAATTATAAGATGTCAAAACTTTAAACTGAGATAACCTCACTTAGAATAAAGTAATTTGAAATTTCTTCTATATACTAATTTTGAATTATCTATTCGTTAAAGGGACAATAACACTCTTGCTGGCTTGACAGCTCCAGAAAATAAAAAAAATAGCCTTATTCTAAGAGTTAGTGTCCTACCTGCTTTGTAAATTATCCATAAATCCTATTTTATTTGTCCAGAGGGTTCAAAAATATTTTTAAATTCAAGAAACATTTGAAAAGCTTTACGTCAGGCTTTTCAAATCATTTAGTTGAATTTTTCCAATTTTTTTAAATTAGGCGTGTTAAGATGAAATTTGTATCATCAATTAATTGGAATATTGTAAAATAGTACAATTTGTTGACCAGAATAAAGATTGGGACATATTATTCAGTTACAACAAAAGTGGTATTGAGCCTTTAACTATTATGCATAATGCATCTTTAACTTATTCCATGTTCGTATGACTAATTTCTGTAGCTGAGTTACATCTTTCAACGACTTTTTAGTCTACTTCTACAAATCTAATCATTGGATCCCAGGTAAGAATATTTTTCGTAATTGGCATTTCAACTAATTTCCAACCACCGTTGGGCGCGAGTAATAAATTTCAATACAAATACAATGAGATATGCCAACACAAAATGGTAGACACGCTTCTTTTTTTAAAATAATACATAGACATGGTTTTTGTTTAGTAGAATTAAGTTGTTATACACACTTTAAAAGCGTGTATTAGATGACAACCAAACGATGGTAACCAACCGTGTTACCTTCCTTACATGTTCAAAGTATGTTTAAAGGGACTATCCCGATTTAAACAAGAGTCTCAAAAATAAAATTCTGAGTACGTATGAAATTTGAGCGCCAAAATACAGAGGAATTGTATATTTACCTTGTCTCAAAATTTCAGCTCTAAATATTGAGTTGTTTGGACGTGAACGTCAAAACTGCTTATCCGGACACGTAACCCTTTTAATAGTAAGTGCAGGAGGACCGCACTACACGTAAAACAAGATTTCAGGTAAAGTTTTTCGTTGGGTGACCTGATAATCGACCCCCGTTCCTTTAGAGGTCTATACAATTAATGACCAATGTGTTGTACTTGATAACGAAAGGTAAATTTCAATTACACATTATTTTTATAAAATAAAAGCCTGGTTTTATCCAGACACCGCATAATGCAGCTTGAGACGCCATTTCCAGATAAAGACTGACGGCTTTAAGTTGTTTGAAAACGTATTATCACATATACTGAGTTAGTTGCTCGGCCCTAAGGTAGAGAATTTAATGGGATTTTAACACATAATTAAGCAGTTTTAATCTCGAAAATATTATTGGGATTGGCCTTTCAAAGATAACAGTGAACTCACCTTAAAAATTTGTCCATCATATTAATCTCAGATTTAATAATTTTAAAAAAGTAAAATAAAATAACAATTAACAGCCATGGGTGTGCAAATATTATTTCTTTAATTCATGTATTATTAAATGTGCAGGTCGTCATTCATATCGGAATAAAACCAATCATTTGAAGTGAACTGAAATACGAAGACCCACATCAATTAACTGAAATATAACAATCACATTGAAACGAAGAATAAATAGTTATCTGCATAGAAAATCCCTGCATCTTTTGATATCAACTATACTGTTCAAATACTTGATAAAATACAAAACTAACCCAACAATACACGCTAAACACAGTAGATCCCTACATTATAAATGTTACCAGTACTCGAGACAATTCGTTCAATAGACGAAGAACTAATCTATAACAATATGACTCCCTACTTAACAACCATCTTAAACACTTCACAGATATTACTAAATTGTGATCAAACATTTCTAACAATAGCACGAGAACCACTTCATTGGTCAATCGCGTTCAAACAAAGGTTAATAGAGTGATCTTTTCCTAACGATACAAGCGCCCCCTATAAGCTGTCACACCCCCTATTGTTGGACCACACCCCCTGTAATGAAATGCTGGATGTTGATGCCCTGGCTACAACGCGACACCATGGTTGCTTATAATTTAATAATTCCTAATTCTACAAAAACAACAAACAAAAAAACAAGACTATAAGGTGTTATCTTTATTTATTCAACGAAAAAGAATTTGTGAATGTAATTGAAAAATTGCATATGACGTCCATGAAGGAGAGTGGGGTGACGTAATCCACCTACCCAATTCGAAAATGGCTGGGGATATTAGCCCAATGCAATTGTAGTAAATATGGCCGAGTTGCCAAGTACAATGCGCGAAAGACTAGTACACATCAAGAGGCGGACTTTATCCATTTATATCGCCTGTTCTATTTATAGGATTTATAATGCTGTTAATGGATCGTCTGGTGTTCTCAACTGGTATAACTCAGTTGCAAACATGTAGGGAGTGAGTGGGTATGGGTACGTCCATGTTGGAGACAACGTCCAAGTTTGGCGTTAGGGTTACTATCTTCTGTGATAAAATGAAAACTCCGAATTTAGTTTTAACCATTGTTGTCACTTTATTTTAGGTGGTCACTAATGCTCTAGGGAGTTTGTGTGAATTTCAATTTAACCATTTTTTGTTATTTGCATTTTACAGAGAGCAATGTCATCACCCCTTTTGTTTCGTTTTGATTTAGCTTGTAACTATTACTGCAACAACACGACAATACAGATTTTTTTTCTCAGTCTACTAAGTACTTTTCCGTGTACAGGATGATACCTCTTGTACTTGCATGCAGTATTGTAGTCGACACTGACCCCTTCAGCGTAAGTAAAATGGTAAATCAGGATGATTTTTGATGAAGCTAGACAGTGGTTCTCAACCTTTTTTTTGCTAACGGCACACCTGGCTAAATATATATACATATATAAAATCATGGCAAGTCAGACGGAATACAACCGTAGACACAGACTATCATAGACACGTACAATGACTCGAACTAGATAAAATAAACACAGCTATGAACTTATCAGTACTCAGTAGACACCTGTGAATACTCAATTGGGATCACGTGTTTTTTTCGCATTTTATTAGTGTCCGTTCAATTTTCGCGGCACACTCAGGAAGATCTCGCGGCACCCTGGTTGAGAATCACTGAGCTAGAATTTATAAAAAGCAACTAAATAGTGGGTATATAATAAGCACCTGTAGTAAGAGGGGTTGGTTTCTACAAAAGTAACGGATAAACTGAACTCCGGTTGTGATAAATGACATGGATTTATCACAAACTGATTAACTTTGTGACACAACTTTAGTTTTAACAAGCCAATAATGAGGCTGATGTCCCCCGCCGATCTCTCAAAATAAATAGATGGCACATTAATTAATCGCACATTTATTTTTTTTCAAATCAAGCAATCATATTGATTATCAACTATACACTAAGTTTCATCACTCCCTATCAG